CTGGGGGGCTTGTTCTGCCCTTGGGGGGTTTGTTCTGCCCTTGGGGGGCTTGTTCTGCCCTTGGGGGGGGTCTCATCCTGCACTGGGGGGTTTGTTCTGCCCTTGGGGGGTCCCCACTTACCCCAGGGCCCCTGTACTTGTGGGAGGGGGGAGGTGCCCAATTACCCAAAGGGGGTCCTCGTGTACCTCAGGGACCTTCTGCTTACTCTGGGGGGGTCCCCAGTTATCCCAGGGGGTTCCCTGCTTTCCCCAGGGGGTCCCTACTTACCCCAGAGGAGTCTGTACCCACCCCAGGAGGGTCCCCACTCACCTCAGGAGGGTCCCCACTTACCCTAGAGAGATCTCTACCCACCCCAGAAGGGTCCCCACTTACCCCAGAGAGATCTTTACCCACTCCAGGAGGGTCCACACTTACCCCAGGAGGGTCCACACTTACCCCAGGAGGGTCCCCACCCACCCCAGGAGGGTCCCCACCCACCCCAGGAGGGTCCCCACTTACCCCAGGAGGGTCCCCACTTACCCCAGGAGAGTCCCCACCCACCCCAGGAGGGTCCCCACTTACCCCAGGAGGGTCCCCACCCAGCCCAGGAGGGTCCCCACCTACCCCAGGAGGGTCCCCACTTACCCCAGGAGGGTCCCCACCCACTCCAGGAGGGTCCCCACTCACCCCAGGGAGTCTCTACTCACCTCAGAGAGATCTTCACCCACCCCAGGAGGGTCCCCATTCACCCCAGGAGGGTCCCCACCCACCCCAGGAGGGTCCCCACTTATCCCAGGAGGGTCCCCACTCACCCCAGGAGGGTCCCACCCACCCCAGGAGGGTCCCCACTTACCTCAGGGAGATCTTTACCCACCCCAGGAGGGTCCCACTCACCCCAGGAGGGTCCCCACTCACCCCAGGAAGGTCCCCACTTACCCCAGAGAGATCTCTACCCACCCCAGGAGGGTCCCCACTCACCCCAGGAGGGTCCCCACTTACCTCAGAGAGGTCTCTACCCACCCCAGGAGGGTCCCCACTCACCCCAGGAGGGTCCCCACCCACCCCAGGAGGGTCCCCACTCACCCCAGGAGGGTCCCCACCCACCCCAGGAGGGTCCCCACTTACCCCAGAGAGATCTTTACCCACCCCAGGAGGGTCCCCACTTACCCCAGGAGGGTCCCCACCCACCCCAGGAGGGTCCCCACTTACCCCAGAGAGATCTTTACCCACCCCAGGAGGGTCCCCACTCACCCCAGGAGGGTCCCCACCCACCCCAGGAGGGTCCCCACTCACCCCAGGAGGGTCCCCACCCACCCCAGGAGGGTCCCCACTTACCTCAGAGAGATCTCTACCCACCCCAGGAGGGTCCCCACTTACCCCAGGAAGGTCCCACCCACCCCAGGAGGGTCCCCACTTACCTCAGAGAGGTCTCTACCCACCCCAGGAGGGTCCCCACCCACCCCCGGGCCCTCCCCCTGTCCCCCACCCCCCAAATTCCCCCCCGTGACCCCCGTGCCCCCTCCCCAGCCATGCACACGCCGGCCCCGGCCGAGCTCTTCATCTCGGGGGCCCTTCCCGGCTCGGGGACCTTCCCGTCGTCGTCGGCGCTCGGCCCCTACCAGCACCCGGCGTCCTTCGGGGGCCGCAGCTTCCCGGTGGGGTCCCCGCTGAGCCTCCCCGAGGCCGCCTTCAGCCCCGGCTCCAACGGGCTGCTGTCCCCGCACGACCCGCTGCTGCACATCAAGCCGGCCCAGCCCGCCGTGCCCTCCTCGCTGGGCTTCGAGCGCCTGGGCTCGGCCGTGCTGGGCTCGGCGCTGCCCGCCCAGACCCCCCCGTACCGCCCGGCGCCCAGTTCGTCCCAGTTCAACCTGCTGTCGGCCCCGCTGCCCGCCGAGCAGCCCCCCCAGCTCTACAACGCGCCCGTTTTTGGGGGAGCGGGAGCGGCGGGCGGCGCGGCGGGGGGGGGCGGCGGCGACCGGGCCATATCGCGACAGGACAGCGTCATCAAGCACTACCAGCGGCCCGGGGGGGCCCAGCCCCAGCTGCCCCCCGCGCCCCCGGCCCACAGCCTGCAGCACTACCTGAGCTGCGGGGGCTCCTACCAGCAGGTGCCCCCCCACCGCGCCCCCCTGTCCTGCAGCCCCCTGGGCGACCAGTCGCCCGCCAGCTCCGAGGGCTCCCAGCAGCCCCCCAAGGCCGCGCCGCCGCCGCCCCCCCCGCCGCCGCCGCCGCCGGCCCCCCGGCCCGAGCCGGGCTACCGGCCCATCATCCAGTCGCCCGCCTACTCGGGGGGCAGCGCGGGGGGCGGCGGGGCGGCGGCCCCGGGGGGCGGCGGCGGCGCGGGGGGGGCCAAGTCCAAGAGCTACTCGGCGTCGCGGCAGCCGCCCCCCCGCTCCACCAACACCCCCAAGTGCCAGAGCGGCTACACCCCCGGCACCCCCAAGCCCAGCTCCGTCATCGCCAGCCAGTCGCCCGCCTACTCGCCCGGGCAGCCCCCCCAGAGCCTGCTGGCCATGGGGGGGGCCCCGGGCTACAGCGGCCCCCCGGGGGCCCCCCCGAGCCTGGGCGGGGGGGCGCAGCCCGCGGGGGGGTTCGCGGGCGGGCAGGGCGGGGAGCTGGGGGGCAAAGCCGCCGCTTACCAGGGCGGGGGGCAGGGGGCGGCGCAGGGGGGGCTGCAGCCCTGCGTCAGCGCGGGGGGCACCTACTCGCCCGAGCAGCTCCAGGCGCTGCCCTACGCGGTCCAGCCCGAGGGCGGCCAGGCCGGGGGCTACGGCCCGCCCGCCCCCTCGCAGGGGCTGCCCACCGCCAGCCCCTCGCTCACCTACAGCACCGGCCACTCGCCCGCCATGCCCCCCGGGCCCCCCCTGCCCTACGCCGGCCTGGGGGGCTCCAGCCCCTCGCCCATCATCCGCCCGCTGCAGTCGCCGCCGGCCGCGCGGCCCCAGAGCGGCGCGTCCCCGGGGCAGTCCCAGAAGTACCTGGGCTCGGTGCTGTCCCCCTCCTTCATGGCCCCCCAGGCCTACGGGGGGGCCCCGGGAGGGGGCCTGGAGCGGCCGCCGCCCCCTCCCCAGCCCGGGGCGCCGCCGGGCGGTTTCGGGAAGGGGGCGAAGGGGGACGCGGAGCAGCTGCTGGCGGCCGAGCGCAGCGAGGACGAGGATTTCCTCATCCAGCACCTCCTGCAGGCGCCCAGCCCGCCCCGCGAGGGGCTGGGGGGCTGCGAGGAGCGCGGGGGGGCCGCCAAGGCGCTGGGGGGGTACGGGGGGGCGCTGGGCAAGGAGGAGAGGTACCAGCTGCAGAGCGTCATCCGCCCCAACTCCAACCTGGAGGCGCCGCTGGAGCTGGCGCTGCTCAAGGAGAAGAAGAAGCCCGAGCAGCAGCAGCGGGGGAAGGAGTTCCGGGGGTCCGCCGGGGGGGCGGGCGGCGGCGGCGGGGGGGGCGAGGGCCTGGCGGCCACCTCGGTGGTGCACTACGGCCACCAGCCCCCCCCGGGCGGGCTGGACTCGTACGAGCTGCAGAAGAAGCCCCCCGAGCAGCAGCACCTGCCCGGCGGGAAGGAGCTGGGGCAGCCCCCGCCGCCGCCCCCCCCGCACTCCTACCTGCCCAAGACCCCCGAGCACGGCCGGGGGGGGGGGCTGGTGGGCGAGGGGCCCCCCCTGGAGCCCCACAGCCTGCTGCTGGACCCCCCGCCCGAGCTGGGGGGGTCCCTGCTGCCCTCGGTGCTGACGCACACGCAGAGCCAGCTGCACCCCCGGCCCAAGGCGCGGCCCCCCCTGGACGTTCACCTGCTGGAGCAGCAGCGCCGGATGCCCCCCCCGCCGCCGCCGCCGCCGCCGCCGCCCCCCCCGCAGCCCCCCGCGCCCCCCGCCGCCCCCCCGGCCGCCCCCCCGGCCGCCCCCTCCCCGCAGCTGCTGCTGGAGGCTCACCTGCACCAGGTGCGCTCGCAGGGGCTGGACCCCCAGGCCGGGGGGCCGCCGCCGCTGCCCCCCGACTCCATGGAGGTGCTGCCCCCCCCGCAGGAGATCCAGGACTTCCTGGAGCCCCCCCTGGGGCTGGAGCAGCACCTGGGGCAGGGCGGGGGCGTGCAGGGCCCCCCCGGGCACCTGCTGGACCCCGAGGGGGGGGTCCCGGCCGTGCCCCCCGAGGCCAAGGACCAGTTCTCGGAGGGGGGCAGCCCGGCGGGGGGCAAGGGGCGCTTCGTGCCCCTCACCTCCATCTGCTTCCCGGACGCGCTGCTGCAGGACGAGGACCGGGGCTTCTTCCCCGGCATGGAGGACATGTTCGGGCCGCCCCCCGAGGACTTCCCCAAGCCCGCCGAGGACGAGGACGACGAGGGGCCCCCCCCGCCCCACCACCACCCCCACCCGCACCACCACCCCCACCACCGGGGCGGGCTGGAGGGGCGGCCCGAGGGGCTGAAGCCGCCGGCCTACGACATGGGGCAGAGCTACCCCGCGTTCTGCCCCCAGGACGGGCCCCCCGGCGAGGCCCCCCCGCCCGGGGCGCTGGGGCTGGAGCCCCCCAAGCACGAGCTGCCGTCCACGGTCAACGCGGAGCCGCTGGGGCTCATCCAGAGCACGGGCGAGCCCCCCAAGGCCCCCCCGCCACCTCCACCGCTCAGCACCCCCCTGTTCTGCTCCTCCAAGCCCAAGAAGCTGCTCAAGACGTCGTCCTTCCACCTGCTGCGGCGGCGCGAGCCCTTCCCGCCGCCCAAGAAGACGTACGCGCAGGAGTACGAGTTCCAGGACGACGAGGACAAGGCCGACGTGCCCGCCGACATCCGCCTCAACTCGCGCCGCCTGCCCGACCTGCTGCCCGACCTCATCTCCAGCTGCCGCCGCGCCCCCCTGGCGCCCATGGGCGACATCGACTTCTGCCCCCCGCCGCCCCCGACGCACCCCGGCGCCCACCACCACCACCACCAGCACCACCAGCACCCCGCGGCCGCCGCCGCCGCCGCCGCCGCCGGCCCCAAGAAGCGCGGCCGCAAACCCACCAAGCCCAAGCGGGAGGGGCCCCCCCGGCCCCGCGGCCGCCCCCGGATCCGGCCCCTGGAGCCCCCCGGCTTCCCCGACGGCGCCAAGAGGCCGCGGGGACGGGGCAGGGGCCGCGGCAAGAGGGCGGCGGACGAGGCCGACGGCGCCGAGCCGCTCAAGCCGCTCAAGGTGAGGGGGCTTGGGGGGTAAAGGGGGGGGTTTGGGGGCTTCAAATGGTCCCAAAATGGCCCAAAACTGGAGATGGAGGTGACTGGGAGGCCTTCAAGGTGGGAATTTGGGAGGTTTGGGGGCTTCTAATGGTCCCAAAATGGCCCAAAACTGGAGATGGAGGTGACTGGGAGGCCTTCAAGGTGGGAATTTGGGAGGTTTGGGGGCTTCTAATGGTCCCAAAATGGCCCAAAACTGGAGATGGAGGTG